AAAAAAAAAAAACTACAAAAACCAAATGCAAGGAAGAGCCAAACAAAGGCAATGCCAATAAGAAGAGTGACAGGCCGTAACAGCGGCAGCTATAACAAGCTCTCGCTCATTACTATAAAATAAGCAGAGCAACAGCAACAACAGGGAAAAGAACTGCACTGGAAATTGGAAGCAACAAAGCGTGGGCCAAAAAGGAAAAGGAAAAAAAAAACTGCGCCTGCTGTCAGGGGCAACGACAGCAAAACTAACAACAACATTGAATTGTAAAGAGCTGCAAAGTTATTGGCGTCGGCGTTTTGCAGCTGTAATTGTTGTTGTTGCTATTGCAATTGCGCAGCAGCAGCAGTAGCAGCGGCAGCGGCAGCAGCAGAAAAAGGGACTGCAACGAACCGGATAAAACTCTTTCCAGTTTCCAACTGCTGCTGCTCTTTTTCTTTTTGATTGGTACTCACCAGATTTATTAACTAAAAATATTCACAGAATATCCCACATACACCTTAATATGACATCCAAAATAAAATAACTTATTTATGGGTTCACTTTAAAACAAAGAAAATTTATTGAACTGCACTCTTTTTATCCACTTGCACTCTTTGAACTTTATTTTATTACGGCGCACAGCGCTATGTAACGATCGTGGTGGCGCAAGTTTAACGACTGAACGACTGAGGCGCCCACCAGGCTGCTTTGTAGTTGATCGCAGGAGAAGCGACACAATGGGCTGCGTCAAATAAATATGTGATGAAAGTGAAGCCACTCATTCAGCCGGCTTACCGTAATTGAGTGCAATATTTAAGAAACAATATTTAAATAGAGAACAACTAACATCTGCTTTTATTTTTAATATAATTAATGTTAACATATCAATAAATTTTCTTTTGTATTTTCAAATTGCGATCCACAGTGCGACATTGACAGCTGTGCTCTTCACTTTGTTGTTTTTTTTTTGCATTTGTTTTTTTTTTTTTGCGCGCTAAGGGAAGCTGCTCCAGGCGAGTTTTGCTTGCTTGCACAAATGTGTGCGAGTGAGATGACAACTGTGACACTTTTTTGTTGTTCGCCACAAACGGTTAAAATTCAAAAAGTATTTTAAAGTAAAAACGGTTGTTAGACAAACCGGTACATGGCGCTCTT